TCAACCCTTTTTTCGTCAGGTATTTTATGACCGCACGAGTCTCCGTCTTCTCCATTTTTGACAAAGCATGTGCACATTGACTATCTGCTAAGCTGTCGTGGCAAAACTTTACGACAAATCAAGCGGAAATTGGTATCGTATCTTTAGCAAGGATGGCTGAATTATTCCCGCCAAAAATTAAATTGATCGCAGCGCCGCATATAGGCAAGGCCGCGAACTTTTCGAACAGCCCTCATATATTAGTTGCTTGATGGTTTTATTTTTGATGTATAAGAATCCATTGCACTTTTTTGTGGTTTTATAAACTAATTATCAAGATCTATTAATATAAGAACAATGCTAAACTCAACTTTTTAACAAGGTGTGAACACAAAGGTATCTTTCCAATGTCAATCTGGAGAGTATCTCTCTCAAGGATGTGAATCTGTGGCTTACTGCCTTAGTATTGGTGACACCCTATCTGGTCTAAATGGAAGGACAGTAATGCCAAAAAAAACCCCAGGGATATGAGGATGAAGGGAAGTGTGCACAGAGAACTCTGGGAAAAAGTGGGAACTGGAAGGAGAAAAGTATGTGTGGCAAGAGAAAAAAGGAGAGTGATGTGGACTGTGGACCTGGAAGAAGACGTGGAATTTAGGAGGCTCTAGGATTGTGAACAGCAAAGAATTGCCAAAGACCACTGGAAATTATATAACTTTAATATTGATGTAAGATTGACTATTTTATGACTCTTGTGTATGTTATGAACTATACATCATCCATACATTGAAGTTATTGTATTAATTATTGTCCTTGTCTTACTGAACCCCGAGAAAACATATCAACCCGAGCACATGTAGAAGGTGTTTTACACCTACCATTCAGTTGTTCCATCCTGTTTCTTAGCTATAGTTAACTTCTGCCTATATATATATACTTCTATATTTACCTATTTATAATGAATTTGTTCTTTCCTCCCTCACAGATTGATGCTCCCAAGATTACATATGCTATGCTTATTTATAGCCATCTGAACCATATGAAGGTGAAGATATACTCTGATCAAACAACTCATTGATTTAGAGCAATGTTTCCCAACTGTGTGCCACAACACACTTTTGTTGCAAGAATGCCTGAGGTGTATTACAGAAATATTAAATATTCTTTAGAATTTGAGTAGGCTCTTTTTTAAAATTTCATTCATCTTTCATCTTTTTACCACTGACTGACCAAAGGGAGAAGGAGGCATTCACTAAAATGCCAATTGTTGCAAAATTTGAGGCAGCAGCCTACCTCCTCACAAATGCATCTATACATATGCTAGCATACCAACTCTTTGGAGCTTCTACAAACTTTAAGCTGAAAAGTATCAAAGACTGGTGCTAGCTCTTTATGCATCAATTCAAACAACTTTTTATTTTTATTGTATAATTTTAAAATTGTGAGTTAACTTTGACTTTTGTATTATCAAAATATTTTAAAATCAACTATAANGTTATATATTTTTTATAATCAATGAATTAGTAAAATTAAAAATAAAATAAGAAAGACAGAATTATGGCATGTCTTCTCTACATAAAACTAAAATGTTTTATTAAATAAAAATAATTTATCCTGTTATTAACTCAAATCAACTATAATTTATTTTAAATTTTAATCAGTATCTTCTAACCCGATTACCGGTATTTATGAACATTGCCACTCAACGAACCTTTATCTCTGGTAATGCTTAAATTTGGGAATAAATATTTTCAGCCTCACCTGAGGTCTGCTTCAGGTTAATTGAAAACAGGATTCCAAACTTAGAATGACTTTCCTTGGAACATCATCAAACGTTGAGTTTCAAAATAAATTGGAACATACATGTGTGCTATGGAGCATTGACAACTTCTTGCTCTTCCCATATGTAGCACCAGGTGCATGATAGTGCATTGCCATCTTTAGCCTTTATATATCTTCCCTTCAGGCCAGCCCTGTATATTTTAAGGGCCTCAAGGGTCCTAATGTGGTCAATGTGGAAGGCTCTTTTTATCAGTCTCGCATTGGATAGGTCTGCTTGAACCTCTGGGTCAGTGGTGTAGGTGGACAGGGCGGTGGTGTAATGAGCATGGTTACACCACTGCCCTATTACACCATTTAAGCATTACTGGAGATAAAGGTTTGTTGAGTGGGAATGTTTTCAATTTTAACACTTTTATCAATCATTAAAATTTTGGTGTGCTGGGGAGTCTTATTTAATTCAGAGTGTGTCGCTAATCCAAAAAAGTTGGGAAACACTGATTTAGAGAATGATCTACATGAGAAATCACCAAGTCTGTTAAAAGAAATTAATGGCAGCATTGTGAATTTGGCCATTCATGGCCCACAGAATGTGCAAGCATTACCATGAAAAATGCAATGGATTCTTAGACATAAAAAAAAAAACCATCATGCAATTAATGTAGTCTTAATCATTTGTTGGGATAGCCTCACTCCTTTGCAGTGTACGGTAGAAGCAGGGAAATATGGCCCTAAATATGTACCACCATCTACAATGCAGGTCAAAAAGATTATTACTTATAGCATACTGATTCAAAACATAAAACTGATTTTAAAATAAAACTATAAAATAATAAGAAATACTAAAATATTAAGAATTTTATTACTAATCTGTATAATTTCCATGTGAATTAGTATAAAAAATTTACTTTGCTTATACAGTAGAGCGTCGTTTATCCGAATCAATTGGGGACTGGGGTTGTTCGGATAACTTATTTTTCAGCTAACCGATTATGTACGAAAAAATATATTAACCTATCCCGTGTTGAAATTTTTCTCTGTTGTGTGTCGCTTCGCGATGAATTTTCGTTGGTGTTAAGCCTAACGTAAACTTTTTAAAATAATAATTGTGGCTATTGTATTGTTAAAAATTATTTCTTTATTTTGTACAAACAAAATAAATATATTGAAAAATATAACAACCAAAAAAAATATACTTTAGAAGTTGATCTAGTATCAGAAATGTTCGATTCAGCACTACACACAGTCCTCAGAAAAACACCACACAAAAGTGCTAGTGCTGCCAGCTAAAACACACACATCAACAAAAAAAAATATTGGAGTAGCCCAAGATATAGCTAAAGATTGCAGCGCCACAGCACTAGCAAAAATTTAAATTTGCCGACTGGAATTCTTTCGGATAACCGACTTTTGGATAAACAACGCTCTACTGTATATTGTTTTTGACTTCAGATAATCACCACATTAAAACTTCCTTATCATTACAGAATCCTGAGTTTTGGATCTTTTTTGTTCCATCCATTTGTAAATTTTTTAAAAACAAATAATACAATGATTAAGATAAGTTACAAATTCACTTGTTTCTATTTTTTACTGATTGTTGATATTGATTTATATGATTTTTGAAGAATCTATTTGATATATAAAACATTTAAACTTACTAGCGGGTTTATGCATTGGTATTTTCCATTATGATTCTAAGTTTATAAATAGTGAAACACTGAGTAATATAGGTAGTGTTTGTGCAATAACTCATTATAATTTTATATTTTGAAAACAAGATTGTTGATAATGTTTAATCTTTCTTGACCATACGTTGTTGCCAGAACTTAGGTTCCTAAAGTGGGTGATACCACCCCTGGGGCACTGGAACAATCTAGAGGTGGTAGTAGCATCAATTGCAATTGAGGGACATTGAATAAAAATAAAGGGATGGTGGAAACATAAAGAAGATACAGGGTTCCTACTCAAATTTTTGTTTTAAATTCCTTGACTTTCCCTGACCAACTGTGTACAAATTCCCTGACCTCACATCCCTTACAGTATGGTACATTAACAAAATAAAACTTCACTTGACTTACTATGTACTGTACAGTACATACACTATTGCTTCTCCAACTTTTTAACTGGTTATTTTTTCTAATTAACAATTATATATTTTTTATAATCAATGAATTAGTAAATTTAAAGATAAAATAAGAAAGACACGATTATGGCATGTCTTCTCCATATAAAACTAATATGTCTTATTAAATAAAAATAATTTATCCTGTTATTAACTCATAATTGTAAAACTTTATGGCTTTGAAAAAAAAGAAAAATGCCATTAATTATTATTAAAAATTTGTATAATTCATGTACAAAAGTATAAATTTATTAAATTTGTCCCTTAATAAATTTTCCAAACTTTATAAAATATTAATAAACTGGGAAAAAAGTTTTAGAAATCAGAAATTGTTTTATTATGAGATCAAAATTATTAAAATGAAAAATGATAATATTAACTCAAATAGTATTATTTAAGTTATTTATCATTTTTGGTTCTTTGCTATAATTTTTTCCCATCTAACACATGCCCTCAGATTGAAAGTGTAAATTGAGAGAGAGTTAAAATATTTCAAAATTTTTTTTGATCAATGTTAGATTATTAAGAGNCCCTTAATAAATTTTCCAAACTTTATAAAATATTAATAAACTGGGAAAAAAGTTTTAGAAATCAGAAATTGTTTTATTATGAGATCAAAATTATTAAAATGTAAAATGATAATATTAACTCAAATGGTATTATTTAAGTTATTTATCATGTTTGGTTCTTTGTTACCATTTTTTTTCATCAGTTCATTAACACCTGCCCTCAAATTGAAAGTGTAAATTGTGTGAGAGAGAGAGTTAAAATATATTTCAAAAAATTTTTATCAACATTAGATTATTAAAGGTATTAGATTTTTCTCTCAAACTTATACTACTGCATAATTAATACAGCAGTTTTAAAATTTAAAAATAACAATTGGTGTTGTTGTATGCTTGTATATTTTGTGTGCTATAATTTTGGGGAAATTTTGTATATGTTTGGGTGAAATTTTGGATTCTGAAAATATTCTGCATTCCCTTTTCATAAGTTGCATTGTACTACAATACTTCTTGCTGCCTGCAGACAGCTACACTTGATCAGCCATACTGTCAGCAAACAAAATCAACAAGGCAACCAAGGAAATAAATTCCCTGACTTTTTGACAATTTTTAACAAATTCCTTGACTTTCCAGGTGTGTACGAACCCTGAAGTTAAAATAAGAAAAATTTGAAAACTATTCTTACATGTTTCATCTGTTATGTAACATACAGTTGTAGTTATTACTATGTACACAAAATAAATACACAAACATGCAAATAAACACACAAAATACAAGTTATAACTGACTGGTGGTCAAGTCTGCCAACAGATCTTAACAAACAAGTGTTGGCATATGAGCAAGTTGCACATTGGTGGAAAGTCCAGCATGTATTGGCAAAATATGTGCATGTAATAACTTGTTTACAATACAGTAGTATAAACAGATGACAAGCATGAAAGCTAATTTAGATTGTTTCTGAATTGTGTGACAAGCAGTTAATAATAGTCCAAGTGCAAAAAGTATTTAAAGATTTTAATTCATATTCAATACCTTCAATCTTTAAGGATTATGGATCACATACAAAGCAAATTGTATTATTGTTGTTTTAATAAAACAGCAATTTACACGAGTATTTTTATACATTTTCTTACATGTATACTGTACATTTCTGTGTCTTCTAGTGCTTACTTATAATCAAATCATAGCAGTCAGAATAATACAATTTGAAGTGTATATGCAATATATTTATCATAATTTTTATTACAATATTAACAAAAACAAGGGAATGAAATCATAAAAATCTGTTTACCATTAACATTTATTTCTATATACAAATCATTTGTGTTAATTGGTAAATAAGGCATGTATTAATAAGGGACAATTATTTAAATAAGGGAAGCTAAATTAAAACTATTAACTGATTTTTTAATTGCATATTGATGTATTTTAAAATTTAGTTTGATTTTTGACAATTTAATATCTAATACAAATATCTAATGCTGAGCAAAGAACAAAACACAGTTTATTAATTTCATTAGTATTTCAACTTATGTAATATATCCAAACTCCAGCAGTAATGTGAAATATCTACACTGTAGAACAACCATTTTTGGAGCTCTTATGTGTCCATCTTCAGGTTCTGAAGTCTGTCAAATGTAGAACAACACTTGTGACAAACATAGAATGATGCTTTTAGAGAAAATTTTTTAATTTCTAAAAATAGAATGTCAACGTTGTGTGTTCTTGGAGGCACTTCAACATCACTATTTTCTATTCAACTAGGTCATATTTTGCTATCACTATTTTCAAAACAATGATGTTGATGTGTTATTTTGATTAGGTTGATGTGATGTGTTTTTTATAAAGTTTCAATCATTGAAATTTATACAACTTTGTCAATATTTGTTGTGCACCATGTTCATTTTCTACTCCAACTGAAGGAGGACTTAGTCTGGAATGTACATTTTGGAGAAATTAGAAGAATAAAATAAGATATTTGTGTGAATTAGCAACCTTATAGTGTGATTGTCCTTTAAATACAACCCTGTTGTTATTGGATATAAAAAAAAAACAAAAAGCTTCACTATATATATACAATTAATTATGTTTAATTAATTAATTAATAATTGGTTAAAAATAAAGTTAAATTATGCATTTAAAAAATTAAATGCACAAAATATATGTTATATTTATAAAATAAAGAAGCATTCAACTAACCATTACAAGATCATTAGCATCCATTAGTCCAAATTCTAACATTTCACGAGTCAAAACACCCATAATACTATAAAATTCATCAGCACTTTCTACAGTCATAATACGACTAAAAAAATAAAATAAAACTTCAATTTAAGATCACTTTTACATAATTAGCATTTAAATTTAAGAAGTAAATGTTTTCACAAGTAATAATAATAATTATTACATCTGATAGTGGTAACAAAAAACAAATATTTATTACTATACAAATATATACTATTCATTACTGCATAAGTAATATTACTACAGTCCACTCACGTTAAAATAATATGGATAAAGTAAATTTGTTGCCCTGGCAAAACACTACAGTCACAATGTTAATTTTCATGTGGTAAAGCAAAAAAATTTTACCAGAATTTGTTAATTCAAACTGTAAATTAATTTCACAACTCCCAAGAAATAACCCTATTTTCAATAATGATTTCATTATTTACATCAAAAGCAAAGTGGTATTGTAATAAATGTTCTGTTTGGAGCAGAATAGATTTTCTTCTCCTAGTAAGCAAAGACTGGTTTGACCTCCAATTGTAGAGCAATTCAAACATATGGTTTTAGTGGACCATTCTACTGTACTCAGGAAATAAGAGTTAACGTTTAATTAACCATTCTGATATACTGGTCCATACTTAAATAGTGAATACCATCTCCTCCTCATTTTGTTTGATTTGAAAATCATTTAGATCAGAGGTCGGCAACCTATGGCATGCGTGCTAAACATGGCACGAGATGATTTTCAATTGCACTCTGATTGATTAGAAATGTAGTAAAAATTATATTTTAATTATTAATTACACATTTAAATAGAAGTCATAGTTCAGCAAAGGCCATGGTACATTAAAAACAAATCTGTTGTTTGTATACAATAATACCCCAAACTTACGTGAAAGGTGGGATCAAGCGATAACCGCGTAAGTCAAATTCGTGTAAGTCGGGGTATAATTTCGCATATAAATACATACAAATAATTTTTAATTGGGGCCAGAGACTAAAGAAAACAATAATTTAGAAAAAAAATGTTTAATAAAATCTTAGATAATATATATGAGAATAACAAATTATATTATTATAAAATTTTTCACATTTACTTGATTATCACACAATAATTTTAACATTGTTTTCATATCAGCGATAATACCGTGACGTTTATGAATGATGCTTGAATGTAAAGATTGAGTATTTTTCACAGCTCCGAGAATTTTTTCTTTACCTTTTATAATTGTTCTGATCGTCAATTCCGGTAGATCAAACTTTGTCCAATTCACAAAGTTTCATTTTTATATCAAAGTTAATAATGTTAACTTTACATTCCAAAGATAAAGTTTTTCTTTTTTTGTTTGATGCAGAAGAATCAGTTCTACTTTGTTTGGATGACATATTAGAGTCTTTCGAGTCTCCGTAGATATAACAAAGACAGAATAATAACACACAATAAATTGTAGCTATGTGTCAGTTCCGCGCGACATGACCGAACATGTAAGCTGAACAATAGTGCGGGGGAGTGAGTAATCAAGAGTTGCGTGGTGCTCAAACAAAAGACGAATCAACAAGATTTGAAAATCGCGTAACTCCGGGTTCGCGTAAGTCAGGGTAGCGTAAGTTGAGGTATTACTGTATTTCTATTACAGCACATGCGTTTATGCTCCAAGTAGCCATCTACATATTATGCAAGCACTTCACATGTGAGAACATAATTCAATTAACAATTTAACTTCAAAATTATACATTTTTGAAGTTTATTATAACCGGACTAATTTTGATAATACAGTATATATAATAAACTTGGTAGAATCATGCCTGCATTCAGAATAATACTATAACTTACATTTGGCACAACACCGCTGAAAGGTTGCCGTCCCGATTTAGATCATTACAAGATTCATTCAAAAAGTTCTGGGACTGATCCAATAAAAAAATGTCTAATGTACATGTTAATTTATTGAGAGTTGTTACCTTCAAAATAAGTTCCTACTGCAGCTATGCAAAGTTTCCACAGCTTCTCCTAGTTTTCAAAACATTCCTAGAACTCTTTTTTTTGTGATGCTGTTAAGCACTTGCAATTCTGTTTGAATGTCATCAATGTTCTTAAATCACTGTCTTTTCAGCATTTCTTTCAGCTGTGGAAATAGAAAAAATTCACACGATACCAAGTCTGGTTAATAAGGAGGGTGGGGACTACAACCATTTTATTTTTGGTGAGAAACCGTTGAATACAGATAGCTTTGTGAATAGGGATTTGTCATGATGCAATAACCAGTTCTGAGTTTTCCAAAAATCTGGTCTTTTTCATCTTGACATTTTCACACATGTGCCTCAAAACATCCACATAAAAGTTTTGATTCACAGTTTTGTCTTGTAGAACAAATTCTCAAAGAATAATTCCCTTCCCTATTGAAAAAAACAATGAGTATGCTCTTGAGATTGCCCCTCGCTTGGCATGCTTTCTTTGTCTGGATGAACCACAATTTTTCCACAGAGTTGATTGTTGTTTGGTCTTAGAGTCATAGCCATAAATCCATGTTTCATTTCCTATAATCACTTTCTTTTCTGTTGCAACCTTGCTAAGTTTGAAACAAAATTTCCCACACACACACACACAGTTCCTTAAACAAATTCATTTTACAAAGCAATAGAAATTGCAAATCGACAAAAATTGCAGATCTAATCTAAGTAGCAAGAAACAAAATCTACATAAAATAATGGCACAAAATTTGGCATTCTGCCAAATTTTGTGCCATTATCACCATGTCTATTATGCATTCTGATTCACACAAGTTCAGCATACGATCAATTGTGATGCCATGTCACCAGTCCCAGAACTTTTTAACTGCACTTGTAATTTATTTTTGTAAATAAATTTAATTTTATTTAACTTTATTAAGTAAAGTAATTCAAAATATTATAATTTAGAGATTTTGATTGCCTATTAATCCTTAACTCCATAAATTATACAACCTTGAACCTTGACTCTGAAAATCATGAATACAAATTTTTGAGAAAGCAATCTAACTATTGTTCCTCTAATGATTCACATTAACACAAATTGACTGTATTAATATATTACATGAAAAGAAAGAAAAATGATTAAGATAATCTGCCTAATTTTGGATGACTGAAGATCAGTGTTCCCTTTAAGCTACTTAGGTGCACAGCCATGTAATAAATGAAATGCTGCTGCATAACTTCCAGAAAAATATAAAATTCTATTATCAATTGATAAAGTAATAGAATTTTATATATGATAATTTATGTATTATTTTTCTTCAATACACACACATTTGTTGAAGAAAAATAATATATAAATTATTATATATATATATTATTCATTTATTTACTTGCATATAGGACGAGGTGTGACTTTAAAGATAAAAATAAAGAAAATTAGATTTATTAATACAATTCTAATTTTATTTTGTTTAATCATAAGTAAAGTATCAAATAAACATAAATGCACACATTGTCCTGCAAAAATTACTGGCATTTTAAATTTTAAGGAAAATCTTGTAAAATTGACAACATAATTGTTCATGTAAAGCAGGACAATTGGAAACCTTTTTTTTTTTTTTTTTTCCAATTCTTAACAGTCGAATCCACTCTCCGTCGATTACACTTATGAGTTTCTCTGAATTCTGATTTCCGAATAATCATCTATTTTCACATGGGAATGGATTAAAACTTATATCAGGCTCTCATATGATTTTGGAATTTTGATCTGGAATTCAATTCAAAAGCTTTGCTTTTCCTATTGCTATTCACCTTTACTCCTGATAATACACAAGAACGATTCAAATGACCCAGATAAAATACTTATGTTTTTAAACACAAGAGGGTAAGCATCCAGTAAAAAATGCGAATAAACAGTTCACAAAAATTATTGCAATAGTGCAAAGAAGTCCTATTCGCTTGCGTGTATAGGATGGCCTAGGAATTTGAAGCTGTGATAAATGAATAAAAACCTCATCTTATATATGAGTAAATATGGTATATACCTTAATTTTGGGATAACCTATATATATATGTCTTTGTTATATGTCTTTGAAAGATAAGTTGAAAGGATTACAGCTGATTTTAAATTCCAATGATTAGTTAAGTTGATTCACACTATATGACTGGCCATTGGCAGGCAAACAACCCCAGACCAACAGTTATCTATTCATAGAAGAGAGAACAATAGTTTGTTGGTTAATATTGATAAAACTTCTAACTCAATAACAAAAAAAAAAACAGCAAAACAAAAACTCACTTGAAAAGCAAATGTATGGTCATGTAACCTTCAATCAGCAGCAGCAACATAGAAGTTATGAACTTTTTGAAAATTGTGAGATTCTATATTAGAAGACCAGCCTAATGATGTCCTTTTAAAAATGGATGAAAACGTTCACTTTTCAAGTGTGTTTGTTTTGCTGTTTCTTTTTTTGTTATTGAGTCAGAAGTTTTATCTATTTATAGATTTGCAAAAAATGACACCAAATGTTTAATTAAGTATATACTGTATATTTTTCACTGATTTTACAATCCTGACCTATTTCTATGAATTTTGATTTAACTTTTTAATAAATACTTGCAGTTAAGATACAGATTAATTCTAGTCTAATACAAAATACAAGAAGCCAGGATGAATTTATTTGTTTTAATATTTTAATTTTGTAAAATTAAAATATTAAAACAAACTAAAATCAAAATTCTGTTAAAGGTTACATTTTGAACAAAATTAAACAAAAAAGAATTTTTTGTTTAATTTTGTTCAAAATGTTTAATTTTTAAATTTATTTCATTATTATTATTTAACAAAGGAAAATCAGACATCAAATAAAACAATAAATTGTATTTATTTATGTTACACTTAATTTACTTAATCTTTGGTTGGATTGAAAGTTATTTAATAATTCGATTTTATACAAATGTGTAGTGCTCTGTGACGCGACTGTACATATGTCTGATTATTTATGTATGTACATACATACGTACATATATATATCTATGTATTGTGTTATTTTTTTTATTTATTTATTCCTTTTTTTTGTATTTGATTTTCCTTTTTGTTACACGCAGCCCTTCTTTTGCTCC